TGAACTCACAGTGGTCCAGAGTCAGTGAATAAAAAACAGTATAAAATAGTATAACCAACTTCTTAGTATTTTAACATTAAAATACTAGGAAAATAAAAAGCTTTTTGCCTGGCACTGAAACACATAAAGAGTTGGCACCAAGCACACCCCTTTAGGAATTTTTATTCTTTTGCCTTGTCATTCTTTTTTCTTTCTTGTTCATCACTTGGGAATGGGTTTTTTTTAAATTATAGAACTGTTTATGAATTTCATAAAATAAAAACAAAACAAAATTAAAAAGTAATTGACATTTACCAGACATGTAACATAAGTGTACTGTATAAAGCACAACATGAACACCAGTCATTAAAAGCAACAGCTTTGTGCCATGGAGTGCAATCTGATTAATTCCTGTTTCTATTATATTCTCAGCCTTATCAAGACATTGCAACAATTCATTCTGTACCTCTCTGCACCCCACAAAAAAACATAATCTCTTAATATGAGTGGGGAATCACTCTTAGAAATGTAATAATGTTAGATCAAAAATATTATTTTGTTAGATTTCCTTTTAAAATAAACTGAAGGATCTCATCTGAGAGTCCAGGCATTTGCTTTGTTTCTTCCAAACTAATACTTGTTTTAGTGGAAGTGGAAAAGCAGGTGCTGCTGAAGTGCTGAGGAAGTATCTTATCTGCATCTCGGTTTAAAACCATCTGAGCTATCTGGAGACTCTTCAGAGCGTATGCCATTCCCTCTTGGTCTGTTAGGTCTGCAATTTTGGCAGACACGCTCTGTGAAGCTGCTTCATACGCTGGACTTCCCCCAGATGGTTTCTTCTGGCAGCAAGTTCCATAAAACACTTCCAGAGATTTCTCAATAGAGGGTTCTTCATATTTCCAAGATAAGGGAAGTTCCCTGGGTTGAGATTCATCTGTCATTGGCTGGGTCGTCTCGCAGGGTCCAGGCCACAACGTTGCATCAACTCCAGTGTTGTGCTCTGAGAAGACTATGCTATTTGAGTCTGTTAGGGAAGAAATGGCAAAGCCTCATTAATCACATTGGAATAAGGAATGGCAAATGCAAAAGGCTGGATAGATACTGGACGGTTTGATGTTTATGTTTAGGATATGCAGTTTCAAATCTCTGACCAATCAGTGATGATGGCAAAATTAAAAATGACTCAGTTCAGAATGAATTCCCTCCCTTCAGAATTGCCAAGGCTGTTATAAGCTGAACCTCTCTCGTGTTCAGGCCTGCCTTATTATGAGCTCATCACCAGCCAGCCCTGTCTGCCATTCTACCCCTCTCCCAACCAAACTTATGACCTGGATGGAGTTGGAGAACCAGCAGCTGACAAGACAGGCTGGTAACAAGATGGAAACAGAAGCAGCTTTGCAGGCTGCAACCTTAAGACCAAGCCCAAAGATAGGCAACTGCTGACTGCCCAGTGTTTTTGGACTACAACTCCCAGAATCCCTCAGCATTGCCCATGCTGGCTGGGGCTGATCAGAGGGTATCAGGTGGCCTACTCACTCAGCGAGTGAATGAATATGGTTTCCAATGCCTCACATATGAAGCAATTGAGTCAAGAGGAAACTACAACTACCAGACACAATGATAGCAAAGAATGCCGCTGAGAATATTTAGGAGCAACAAGGATTTAAGGATGAAGACTGAACGCCCCCTCTTCCTCTTGTGAGCCAGTGGCCCCTTTTTACTGTCAACCCATGTCCCTTCATAAGTATGTCTGCTTGGGACAGGTAAGGATGACTGATGCAAATTCCCCTAGACTTGGTTTTTGAAAGATAGTTTTTGGAAAGATGGCTCAGCCTAATCCAGCTGTGAGGTTCACTGTGTGGCCTTGGAAATTCCATTGTCACTCTCAGCCTCACACACCTCCAAAGGTGCTTCTGGGTATATGTGACATAACAATAGTGAAGCATGTTGTACACTGAAAGGGAAAATGAACCAATATTCATAAAAACAAATAGGACCTTCCTTGGAGTTCAGAAGGAAAGAGCCATGCAATGATCTTTTGCTTCTTGAGGCAAAGGGCAAGATGGCAACACCACCTCCATCTCATGTATATAAGCTGACTGAGGTGGCAAGTGCTGCTCACTTCATCACTGGCAACAAATAGGGTTCTCCACCACACCTGAGTGCAGCGGGCTGGCTTAGGGGTACAAGACACACAAGTCTCTCCTCCAAGAGAGGGAATAACTGCCTGGAGAGAAACAGCTGGGGGATTCCCACTGCTGCCCCAGGACCTGCTGTCTGAAGCGGCTGTTTCATGGTACCTAATGGCACCCGGTCCCAAGATGGAAAAGAGAAGATGGAGATCTGAGTCCTGTTCCAGTAAGATGCTGAAGTGACCTTCCCAAGGCAAAGCTCACCCTTTGGGGAATGGACATAGTTAAGAGATAGGTACAGAATACACTTCACATGCTGAACACCCCAGGGTCACTCCTTGCTTCAGAAATAAAGAACCTCAGTGCTTAAGCTGCTGGAAACTTGGTGCCTCTTGCAGGCATCCAATAGACAAGCAGTCTAAAGTGGTATAAGGCAGGCAGTTTCACAGGGTAGTAAGCAATGTTTCTGCAGTTCCAGGGATCAAAACAAATGCTCTGTTACCCCATGCTGATCTATCATCAGTGACCCAAAATCCTATAGCATTACTAAAACTAGCACCATTTAAGAATTAGTATCTGATATGCATCTGATAGGAGACTTTGTATTACTTGAATACTGTGGCTAAAACATGTGAATGGGGGAATTAAGATGCTTAGAAATGCTTGCAATTTTCTTTTAAAATCTAGACAATTTAATAAAACCAAAGAACAATGTAGAATGGGAAAAGATATGCAAACTACTGTATCATTTTTATTCCAGGTGTTACACTTAGTCACATACCATTCTCTCTCCCATCTTGTTTATTGAATGAAAAGGGGCCGCAGGAAGTTGGGATCTTGAGCAGTGCATTGACAAGGGAGAGCAGCTGCTTAACTGCTTCTCCATGGAACTAATTTCCACCCAAAGTCACCCAACTAGATTCCCCCCTACAAAGTAAAAGACATGCAATATCTAAAAGATACGTTTCTCGGTGGCGGCACCCACTCTCTGGAATATCCTCTCCTGGATGGTTTAGGAGGCAGAAAATGTGGTGGGTTTCAATATGCCTTAAAAACATACGTATTTAACACAAGCTTTCCCTGGCTGGTAATGAATTAGCAAGATGCTATCTCATGTGATTTTTTTCTGCTATTTTAAAACATAATTTCTCTTTATTCCTCTTCATTTGTTGTAGCTGCAATTGATTATGAATTGTTTTGAACTGTCAAGATGGCATGTAAACCATCTTGCCCAGTATGGTTAACACTGACCGGCAGTTCCTTTCCAGGGTTTCTGGAAAGAATTCTTCCAGCCTCTAGATGCTGGGGACTGAATCCAGGATCTTCTGCAAGAGAAGCAGGGGCTCTAGAATTGAGCTACACCCCCACTATTTGTTAGGTATTATTGCTAAATAAAGAAATGTCCCCCTACCCCCATGGAAATGCAGAAGGCAAATGATGGAAAAGAGTTACTCACCAACAACACATACTTTTACTCCCAGTGACTTTTCCATTTTATTTCTTTCTTTATTTTATTTAATTTAATTTTGATTGATTGATTCTTTGAAGGTGTCCTTTGCAGACTGAACCTAAGTTCTGCTATGGTCCACCACATGGCACACTCTGGAAGTTATTCTTAGCAGCACGAAGAGCCACCTGCAAATTTGCCATTACTGTGCAGATACACATAAAAGACCAGCACCTTAAATCAAGCTGCTCATGCAGCTTGGAGGCAAATAAGGGATCAGGTACAAGGAACCAGTTCCTGCCAAACTGATCAACGGAGAACAGTAAGAGGAGAAATACCATTTATTATTTATATATTATCATCAGTGAAGTATGACACTTCGGTTGAACTTACGATGAGCTCTTTCACAATTTACAGTGTACTACCCAGGTAGCAGGCAATAGCCATTGCTCAGCACTTTTCCTCTCCTTAGAAGAAGTCCTCAAACTTGCTTTTCTGCTCTGTTAAAGATCCTGGAAGCTTAAAGTATACAACTCCAATATGAGGCATGTCTGTGAAACCAGTTCCACCTCACAAACTACACTCTCCCCAATCCCCAGCCTGGCTGAAGGAAGCAAACACCAGGCTCCTTGCCTTCCTTGCCCCCAACTTTGGCCTGCTCAGAGCCCACACCTGCGTACTCCTCAGTGCTGTCAGTATTTGCATGACAGCACTAAGTAGATGCACCCTTCAGCACTCCATCCTTTGCAGGGTAAGAGAAGACTGGGGAGAGGCAGCACTGGGACCTTTTAAAACACACTAATACTCTCCTCCATCTATTCAGGACGGGGCTGCCTGCACAGATTTTATTCTGCCCTTCTCCTCTACTATTTTTTGGTGCATAACACATCCACATACTAGTCATCTACCTGACTTATATAATTTAATAAAAGTAGTCTTGCCAGTCTGCTGCAGCAAAATAAGTCTTGTGGCAACTTATAGAGTCTGTAAAAGAAGGTTGCTTACCTGTAACTGTTCTTCGAGTGGCCATCTGTGCAGTCACACATATGGGTGCTGTGCCTGCGCAGTGCCTTCGGCCAGAAGATTGAAAGCTAACGGTTTCTGGCAGGAAGCTCCGCTCCCCCTCCCCCCTATAGCTTATATAGAGTGGAGCGTCCGCCATTTTGTTCAGTCTTTGAAGACCAAACATTTGCCCCCATGTGGAAAAAAGGAGTCCCTACTAAAGATGATATCGGTACCATGAATGAAAAACGGTTCGGTACTGATGAAAATATCTCCATTCACCAACACCGCGTGGGGCCGGCGGGTGGGTTGTGTGACTGCACAGATGGCCACTCGAAGAACATCAGTTACAGGTAAGCAACCTGCTTTTCTTCATCGTGGCCTCTGTACATCACACATATGGGTAGATTAGCAAGCTTACCCTTATTGGAGGAGGGGAGGTGTCCTTAGCGAAGAATAGACGAGAGAACGGCTCTGCCAAAGGAGCAGTCTTGCCTGGCACAAACATCCAGCCGATAATACTTAGCGAATGTACATGGAGTTGCCCCAGTGGCAGCTCTGCAGACGTCGTCAATTGGGACTCCCAACGCGAAGGCAGAAGCAGCAGCAACAGCTCTAGTAATTGGAATTACTAGGTAATTACTAGATTGACTTACCTACTTGGAATTGTAGGTAAGTCAATCCTGAACAGCTGATAGGATAGAGTAATTGTATGAACTATCCACTTGGAGAGCCTTTGAGGGGTAACTGGAAGACCCTGATTCGGTTCAGAGTATTTGACAAAGAGCTTGTTGGAACGTCGGATAGATTCGGTCCTCGATCTGTAGAAGGCCAGGCAGCGCCGTATGTCGAGAGTGTGCAAGGATCTCTCAAGCGGATTTGTCGGAGACAGAAAGAATGCAGGTAAGACAATGTCCTGTCCCATGTGAAAGGAGGTAGTCACCTTGGGAAGAAAGGATGGATCCATTCGCAAAACAACTTTCTCCCTGTGGAAATTTAAATATGGAGGATCTAAACGCACAACACAGAGCTCACTAGCTCTTCGAGCTGACGTTACTGCTACCAGGAATGCCTTTTTCCAGGAAACAAGACGCAGATCGATTGTCACCAAGGGTTCGAAAGGAGCTCTTGTAAGCTCCTGTAAGACAACGGAAAGACTCCATGTAGGCATCACCGGTCTGACCGTTGGGTTAAGGTTATAAAGTCCCTTGAGGAATCTCTTTATAAATGGCTGAGAGAAAATGGATGGACCTCCAACTGTGCCATGGTAATATGAAATTGCTGCCATGTAAACTTTTATAGAAGACAGCTTCAGTCCAGAATGGTGAAGTTCTAATAGGAATTGAAGGATTTGATGTGTAGATGCTGAGAGTGGAAGGAACGAATGAGACTCAGCAAAGGTAGAAAATCGTCGCCACTTAGCTGCGTATGACTTTCGTGTTGACGGCTTTAACGCAGAATCAAGAATGTGTTGAATGTCTGGATGAAAATTTGTCGGAGCCGACTGAACATTCGTTGGATCTGATGACTTGGGAAAGACGACTGAATTCAAAGTGTGTAGCGACGTGTCGGATCCGGGGACAGGATCCGAATCACGTGTAGATGCCGTTGGTACCGAGTCAGTGTCAACAGTTATCGGATTCGCCAGGCTGTCAATTTCAATGACGCTAAATCTGGGTGGCAAATCATGCCTTCTCGCTGGGTAATGAGATATGGAATGAGTGGAAGATGAAGGTATTCTTCTTGAGAGATGCGAAGAAGTGTAGAAAACCATACTTGGTGTAGCCGCCAAGGGGTGATCAGCAGTCCTGTGGCCCCGTCGTGAATTATCTTCAATATCACTCTCATGAGGGGGATCGGAGGGAAAGCGTAAATGTTCAGATTGTTCCAAGGGATCATAAAGGCATCCCCTAATGATCCGTGTCCGATTCCCACTCTCAAGCAAAAAGTCTCGCATACCCTGTTCTGTCGGGTGGCAAATAAGTCTATTTCTGGGAAACCCCAGCAATGGAAAAGGTGGTCGCGTGTCAGGGGGTCTAGTTCCCATTTGTGAGATGCGGACATGTGTCTGCTCAGAAGATCGGCTTCCACACTGTCCGTACCGGCAAGATGTACTGCCACCAGAGTAACGTCTCTCGGGATGCACCATTCCCAGATTTGCATCAATAGTCTGGCCAATGTCGGTGACTTCGTCCCTCCTTGTTTGTTCAGATAAAAGACTGTTGCAATGTTGTCTGAGGTTATCTGAACTATTCGGTCCTGAAGAATGTCCTCGAACGAGTGTAGAGTCTTGAATATGGCCAGAAGTTCTAGGAAATTGATATGATTCTTGGATTCTTGTCAATTCCATACACCCTGAGTCCGCAGGTCGGAGCACACTGCTCCCCATCCCAGCAGGGATGCATAGGTACCAAGAGATATCGAAGGGCATCGGGGTCAGAAAGGCACCCCCTCATTTAGATTGGTCGGAACTGTCAACCACAGTAGAGAGTGAAGGACAGAAGATGGGATCCAAAGTAATTTCGTCAGAACGTTGCTTTGCGGCCGGAACACTTTGTTGAAAAAGAGTTGGAGAAGACAAAGACGAAGTCTGGCATGAGGGACAATGGCAACTGACACAGCCATATGGCCCAAGAGTCTGTGTATGGATCGGGCAGGAGCAGTCCTGTCTTGTACGATCAAATGGATGTGCTGAGCAAGAGCTTGCTGTCAGTCCTGTGGCAGGAATGCTCTTGCCATCATGGAGTCCAGGCGAGCTCTGATGAACGTGATAATCTGTGCAGGAACAAGAGAAGATTTCTCATTGTTAATACAAAGTCCCAGACTTTTGTAGTAGGGAACAAGTTGTCTGTATCGCAGCAATAAGTCCTTGTCTGGTTTGGGAGACTAGCAACCAATCGTCAAGATAAGGGTAAATCTGAAGTCCTCGCAGTCGTAGAAACGCACAGACGGGAGCCATACACTTTGTAAAAACCCAAGGTGCAGTAGCCAGTCTGCATGGTAGCACCGTGAATTCGTACACCTCAGACGCAACAGCAAAATGGAGGAAACGCCTATGACATGGATGGATTGAAATATGGAAATAGGCATCCCTCAAGTCCAGTGAGGCGAACCAGTCCTCTCTCCTTAGCAACGGTAAGATATTTTGAAGGGTGGTCATCCTGAATTTTTGTGGGGTGATGAACTTATTGACACCCCTTAAGTCAAGTATATGTCGAAGACCACTGTCCCACTTTGGAACTGTAAAATATCTCGAGTAGAATCCATGAAGTCCTTCCGTTTGAGCTAACTGACGAATTGCTCCTTTACGAAGAAGCTGTTGAACTTCGCCGATCAGTACTGGTGAGGCTGGGGTGAACCAAATCGGGCTCGAAGGAGGAACGATGTCGAATTCTATTCGGTATCCGTGTTGTAAGATGGATAACACCCACCAATCAGATGTGATGGACTGCCAAATGGGGAGTCGGCCTTTTAGCCGGTCCCCAAATGAGAGAGGGGTGGGTGCGTTATGGAGAAGAGGAATGGTTCACCCATCCCGTCAACATCACCTCCTGTTGACCTCAAAGCAACGACAGGTTTGTTGGTAGTGCTGTGGTGGCTGTTGACGGTGGCGCTGTGGTTGTTGTTGTCAGTATGGAGGTTGCTGCCTTTGTTGGTATGATTGACAGTGTGACGGATGGGTCCAAGACCACTTACGTCGAGCTTGTGGTTGGAGCTCCATCCGTCGAGCCGTCATCCTGGATTCGTGTATCTTCTTAAGTTTGTGGTTGGTTTTCGCATGAAAAAGACTGGATCCGTCAAAGGGCATTTCCTCTATGCGTCTTTTTGTCTCCTCCAGAAAACTGCAGTTGCATAGCCACACATGCCTCCGGAGGGAGACGACACCGACCAGGGCCCTAGAGTCTGTGTCCACGTGATGACGTGCAGTGGACAATTGCTGGACCGCGACCTGCATAGCCTCTTTAATTAAAACTTTCACGAGATTGCCTTGGTTGCCTGGGAGCATCGAGACAACATTGTTGAGGCATTGCATAATGAAATACTGGTAATGAGCCAGTGTCGCCACATAGTTCAAAATCCTCATGCCGAGCCCAGAAGCAGCGTAGACCCGGCGGGCTAGGGAGTCGATTTTTCTGCCTTCTTTATCCCGGGGCGCGGTGTGTCCCCTGGATTCCCTGCCCTGGGAGGATTCAACCATGACCGAGTTCGGTCTCAGATGATGGAGAAGGAACAGGATGTCCTCCTCCCAAACCCAGTACATGGATTCGAACCTTCTCGAAGTCGGTTGCAGATGGCTAGGCAGGTCCCACGGCTGCACCATAGCTTGCCGTAAGGTGGTGATGAGCGGTAAGACTATCGATGTTGATTGCTCCCCGCGAACGACATCGTAAAATTTGTCGGTGCTTGGGCCAGGTCATTGTATGGTGTCAATTTCCAATGACTGGACCAGCCGCGACATCAGTTCCCTGAAGGAGATGTAGGATTCATTGGGGGACCCAGGGCCCTGGGAGGTCACCACGACGTCCGGTGATGTGGAGTCCACGTCAGAGCCATCAGAAGCAGCCCCATAGTATGGGGGCGCAGAGGAAGAAGACTCCGCTGGTGACATGGACCTGCTGCTCTCCCTGGTTGGTGTCACAGCGGCATGTCTCGGGATCGAGGATGTTGGACAGTCCCGAGGAGGTGGAGGAGAGGAATAAGCCCTAGGGGCTGGATAATGTCCGATGGAGTGGTAGTCCCCCCATCCATGGTAGAAAGAAGAGTGAGGATGATACCACTCGCCGGTTCTCCTCTCAGATGATCTACTTCTGTGGCCTCCAGGAGGAGACATCCCCATCTCAACATCCAGTCCGGTTGAGGGCATAGGCGTGGGGGACCTAGCCCTGGGAGGGGAATTCCGAATTTCCCCGTCAGAGATGGACTCCCTAAGTGGAGCATGAATGGGCTCCGATGCCGGTTCCACAAGTCATCGAGGGGACCTGGCGGGGGGGTTACCCTCATAGCCTCCTGGAGCGTCGGCCCCAGTGGTGTCGGTACCGCGACAGCCGTCGGGACCTAGGCGGCCGATGAACCCGAGTCTCGGTACTTAGAGAGCTCCAGGTCCTTAGGCTTTCGAGGAGGCTTTCCCGCCTTATCCTTTTTAGGTTTCTTGTGCTCAGACGGCTTATCGGAGCCGCTGTGCTTCCGCTTCTCGCTTTTCTTCCTTGGCGTGGAAGCAGGCTGATCGCCCAGAGCAGATGCAGCTTCATCAGAAGGTCGTGAGGGCGGAGTCTTGGAGGAGGAAGCCAGCACAGTAGGCGGGGCCGGACAGGTAGCCGCAGCCGTGGCCGGAGCAGGGCGGGAGACTAGTGGATCCGATTGTAGGAGTGCACGGTCCCACAGAAGTCTCCTGAGATGGTTCTCCCAATTCTTCCTGGCCTGTTTCGAGAAGGCCAGGCAGTGCGAGCATTTGTCTGTCCTATGCCCTTCCCCCAAGCAGAGGAGGCATAGGTCATGCAGGTCCGCAGGGGACATTTTAGACCCGCATTCCACGCACTTGCGGAAGGCTACTCGTTGTGCCATCGTTAGAAAGGAAAAAGAGAAGATAGTACAGAGGGTAAGAATATATTTCTGGTTTTTGTTTTGGTTTTTTTTTGAAGAGAAAGGGTGAGAATGAAGGAATAACAAGAGAATAACCAGAGAACAACAAGAACTAACGAAAGGGATTCTGTAACTTGAAGAAGAACAAACAGACTGGTTAAATAAGCGAGGAATGGTCAAAGCGAGAACGAAAGCAGCATGAGGCACAACGAATGGCGGTCGCAAAGACTGAACAAAATGGTGAACGCTCCGCTCTATATAAGCTATAGGGGGGAGGGGGAGCGGAGCTTCCCGCTAAAAACCATTAGCTTTCAATCTTCCGGCCAAAGACACTGCGCAGGCACAGCACCCATATGTGTGATGCACAGAGGCCACGACAAAGAACATAAAGAAACTAATTCTATTATAGCACCAGCCTTCATGGACTAAATAGAACCCACTTACCGTAGTACAATCTGCTAATTTTATGGTGTCACAACTCTGTTGTTTTTATTTATGTAAGTGAAGCTTCACAGAAGGCAGCTGTTTATGGCCCTGTCTTCCTCCAATTCCAGAGTGTGTGAGATTTGCGGCTATTACATAAACCTTTTGTGCGTGCATTTTAAAGCCAAATCTTTAATAATTCATTGGAACACGCATTTCCTATCATACAAAAATCCTGTTCAAAGGGAAGATGTTGCCTACAGAAAGGTACAAACAAGCTGGAGGTTAATTCAAATTATGAAGTGGCTATTAAAGTAAAATTACAATGAGGGCATAGCTTTCCCTCACAAGTCTGGTCTGTTCTTCCAGAGAGATTTCTCCTTTTATTTGCCTGCTTTCATCTTTTCTTACATATTCATTTTACTAGTAATTGGGACTGGAAACTATTTCCCTGACCAAACAGATGGCATTGATATTGACTCTATATTTTAGAGGCATAAAAGAGAGTACCGCCTTTTATCAATACAGGCCCAAACTAAAATTGATTACGTCTCTGTATATGTTAGAGAGAGAAGAGAAAAAAAGACAGACCCTGTAATATCTAGGATGAAGTATTGTAAGTATAACAACCAAAAGGAAAGGGCAAAACTTCTGCCTTCAGTAACACAGCTGTAACTTTGCCTTGACATGTGAATTACTATGTTTCATGTTATCAAGTCATCTCCGACTTAGGAGACCTTATCAATGAATGCCTTCCAGAATGACCTGTCCTTGACAGCCCTGCTCAGCTCTTGCAAACTCGCGGCCATGGCTTCTTTTACAGAAAAGATGCATCTCAGAGTTTGTCTTCCTCTTCTGCCATTGACTTTCCATAACATTGTCTTCTCCAGTGAGTCTTGCCTTCTCATGATATACGCCAAGTACAACAGCTTCAGTTTTGTCATTTTTGCTTCTGGACATGTCAGTTAATAGAAAATGGATAAAGCACAAGTAAATAAATATATCATTTATTAATTGGACCTCATATTTCATCCTCAGAGATGATTAATCAAGATTATGATTTAAAAGTAGCCTCCTAATTTTACATGAACAAAACACAAAATAGTTAATAAAAATGAGTATTTTGTTTTTATTTCCATGTCATCATTTCTTCAAATAAAAAAATAAAAAAAACCAGAAGGTTTTTAACCATCTATTGATGAAGAAGCTAAGCACAAAAAGTAGGAATTGCTCCACTCCCATTAGCCAGATGAATGACCTTTCAGAAGATCATAATCTTGTGCTACAGATATGCATTTTAATGCAACCCTTGCCATTGATTTCTGTGTGTTTTTGAAGTAACAGCTACTACTGACACAACTGTGCAGAACAGTCAAGTCTTGCCAGGTGATGCAAGTTTTCAGATAAGTTATCCCACACCAGCAACTCTACCAGTGAAGAATCTTCTTCCACCTTACTTTGAGTCTTTCACTACCATTTATTTTCTGCTAACAAACTCCTTTATAATTGCTCTCAGACCATCACCTGCAGGCCTCCTGTGCACCTCGATAACAACACGCACAGCCCACAGCTCCTGTATCTAAATAGCCCGCTTCCCTTGAGTGGGAAAGTAGTATCAAGGTCACTTTCTCAAGATTTGTGGTTAGGAAGATGACAGGACAACAAATGCGATTTGCACAGGCTTCTGTACGTGTTTGGCACGGCATCTTCTTCACATGGTTGCTTCAGTATGAGATACCCATGGCCAAAAGTGAACAGTCAGAGTAACTAGATGATGAGACTGCATCTAATGACTTGAGTCCAGCTTTTTGTGTGTTGGCAGGAGCATCTCTTGCTTGGAATTACATTCAGAATGCGTCCACAGCAAGAAAGCGGGGGACAAATATGATCCTCCCTAATTCCTGTCTCCCTCTTCAGCTCCTAGCACCTTCCCCACCACCTGCAAAGTATTCTGGGCAATGTACATGCTTCCCCTCCCACTTCCATCCTCAAAACAATCCTGTGTGATAGGCTAGCAACTGGCCCAGGGCTACATGAGTGGAGAGCTGAATCTGCCCTGAATGTGCTTGGTCTAAGTCAAATGTTCTGGTCATTAGACCACACTCACATACATTTACCTCCCCACTAATGTCACAGAAACATGAACAACTTTTAATGCCATGAGTGTAGCTGCAGGCATCCTTTTGTGCTGACTGCCAGAGTGACATATTATTAATTAGCGCATGTGCTGGTCAGTTGAGATTAAAACCATTTCATGGTCCCCTGTGGGTGGTCATTTTGGGGAGTGACCATAGTTTAGTGGTAGCGCACATGCTTTGCATGCAACAGGGTGAGGGTGAGGAATTTATGCTTGACTCCCCTGTCATGGTCAGATCACTTTCTGGTGAGGTTTGTGCTTGAGAGAGACCTCTCCCTCTGTAAGGGTGCGGACCCGATTGTGTGGGTCTGCCCCCGGAGCCGGATGGATCCGGAAGGATTCCTGAAGGCCCTGGGGGAGTTTCCGGCTGACAAGTCGGGTGCTCCTGTCGAGGCTCTGGTCGAACTGTGGAACGGGGAGATGACCAGGGCTGTAGACACGATCGCTCCTAAGCGCCCTCTCCCACCGGGCAGAGCCCGCTCTTCCCCTTGGTATACTCCTGAACTGAGGGCGATGAAGCAGGTTGGGAGACGGCTAGAGCGTAGGTGGAGGAAATCACGAGATGAATCTGACCGAAGACACTTGAGAGCCCACTATCGGGCCTATGCTGTGGCGGTGAGGGTGGCGAAAAAGAGATTTTTTTTCCGCTTCCATTGCCTCCTCACAATGCCGTCCAGCGGAGCTTTTTCAAGTGGTGCATGGCCTGGTTTCTCCAGGTCCGAAAGAAGACCTGGTTACACCCTCGAAGGCCCGCTGTGATGACTTTGCCAGGCATTTTAGGGAGAAAATCGCTCAGATTCGTCACGAGCTGGATTCCACAATTGATTCAGAGGTTTTTAGGGAGACACCAATGCTGCCGTCTGGTCCAGAATTACTGGATGAATTTCAGTTATTGCGGCCCGATGATGTGGACAAGGTGCTTGGACAAGTACGGCCCACCACTTGCCTATTGGACCCTTGCCCATCTTGGTTAATAAATAATTCCAAGCACAGGATTGGGATCTGAATCTTGGAAGTGGTTAACGCTTCTCTGAGGGAGGGTCGGGTGCCTGCCCCTTTGAAGGAGGCGGTAGTCCGACCGGTCCTGAAGAAGGCGTCACTGGATCCAGAGATGGCCATTAATTATAGACCAGTGCCCAACATCCCGTTTCTGGGCAAAGTGTTAGAGCGGGTGGTGGCGGGACAACTCCAAGCACTCTTGGATGAAACTGATTATCTGGACCCATTTCAGTCCGGCTTCAGACCCGGGTACGGTACTGAATCTGCCTTGGTCGCCCTGTACGATGACCTGTGCAGGGAGAAGGACAGGGGGAGTGCGTCCCTGTTAGTTCTCCTGGACCTCTCAGTGGCTTTCGATACCATCGACCATGGTATCCTTCTGGATAGGCTGGTGGGATTGGGGGTCGGAGGCACTGCTTTGCAGTGGTTCCACTCCTATCTCAACGGCCGGTTCCAGAAGGTGGTGCTGGGGGACTATGGCTCTGTGCCATGGCAGCTATGCCATGGAGTACCGCAGGGGTCCATTTTGTCCCCTTTGCTGTTCAACATCTACATGAAACCGCTGGGAGAGGTCATCAGGAGGTGTGGGCTGCGGAACCATCAGTATGCTGATGATACCCAGCTCTACCTCTCGTTCTCCACCAATCCAAGTGAGGCAGTGGCTGTACTGAACCGGTGCCTGGCCGAGGTAATGGGCTGGATGAGGGCCAATAAACTGAAGCTCAATCCAGACAAGACGGAGGTCCTGTTGGTTGGCGGATCGGGCTTCGGAGAGGGTGAATTGAACCTTGTCCTGAACGGGGTTGCACTCCCTCTTAGGGACAAGGTCCGCAGCCTGGGAGTGCTCCTCGACCCGGAGCTTTCACTGGAAGCTCAGGTAACAGCAGTGGCGAGGAGCGCTTTCCTCCAGCTTCGGCTGATTCATCAGCTGCGCCCCTACCTGGAGTACGACTGCCTCGCGACAGTGACACATGCGCTGGTGACTTCCCGTCTTGACTTCTGTAACGCGCTCTACGTGGGGCTACCCTTGAAGACGGTCCGGATACTTCAGTTGGTTCAAAATAGAGCTGCCAGGCTGCTGACGGGGACTGGGCGTTATGGTCACATGACTCCAGTTCTCCGTCAGCTTCACTGGCTTCCCATTGAAGTCCGGGCCCAATTCAAGGTGTTGGTGATGACCTATAAAGCCCTAAACGACTTGGGTCCTGGTTACCTGAAGGAGCGCTTACGTCCATATATGCCCGGCCACCCCCTGAGATCAGCGGGAGAGGCCCTTCTCCGGGAACCCTCCATGAAAGAAATTAGGAGGGGGGTTACTCGGAGGAGGGCTTTCTCAGTGGTGGCGCCTCAGTTATGGAACGTGCTCCCCAGAGAGGTCCGCCTGGCGCCGTCGTTATTTGTTTTTCGGCGCCAGGCGAAGACCTTTTTATTTAAGCGGCATTTTAACTGTTAGTATTACTAGATTTTATCTGGCCAGGGCGGCTTATTTTATATTGTATTTTTGTATTTTTAATTTAATGTTTATATTTATTGTAATTTATATTATAATTACTTTTAATTTATTGTTGTAAGCCGCCCCGAGGCTTCGGCGAATGGGGCGGCATAAACATGTTTTAATAAATAAATAAACAAACAAACAAACAAACAGGTCCGAGACTCAGTCCCCAGTACCTTCAGAAAGAACTGGAAAAGACCTTTACCTAAAACCTGGAAAGCCACTCTCAGTTAGTATAACCTAGAAGCTAGAAGGACCAGTGCTCTGTTTCAAGATGAGGCAGCTTCCTACATCCCTGTCTGTTCTGTGTGGCATAGTTGATCAACTTCATGTAAGCAACTTGCTACAGGACTGAATGATGTTCACAAATACAAGTAAGCTTCAAGAGACCAGTTTTCCATTGAGTTTTATCAATTAGTCAGCATCTCTTTTTTCCTTCCTTTGGGATTATTATTAAGGAAAGTGAAAAAATGAAAGGCAGGAGATAGCTAAGAAAAAAGAGAGTAGGTTTTTCATTTACAGTTTGCATGTTATGGTTTTAATACAATGTATACAATTAAAACAACTTGGGGTATTTTTGCAGTTTAAAAATAAAGCAAACAAATAATGTAAACATATAGCAAAAAATTCATGTGGATGTCCCATGTTACAAGCTCAGGCAACAGGTGGCTCTTGGCTCTGGCAAGACTCTGGGCCAGAATTTAATTCCTAGAATGGGGACAGGATGTTTTAAATTACCAACTCCCAGCACACCAGCCAGCATAGCCAATTGCCTGGAATAATGGAAGTTGTTGTCTGAAACTTTTGGAGATAGCCTACCCCTGCAAGAAGAAACAAGTGACTGCAAGAAAAGGCACTGGCCCTTTAAACTGGCCAGAAGCAGAAGCAGGGAATTTCTGGATTGACCCTTTTGGCCAGCTCCTTAAATTCTGCTCTGGGTCAACTGTGAGGTCACAGTTGCCTACAAGGCAGCTGGGGATTATTGCTGTTGGTCAGTCTAGCAATGCAGCAGTCAATGATGAAAGGTATCAGTGATAAACAGGAACAGCAGCAGACAAATGTTCCCTCACTCTTTTTCTTCCACCTCTTTGAAGAGAAGGAACAAAGGTTTAATGGGGATGCTTAAAAAGAAAAGATCTGAATCTTTGCCATTTTCCTATTCTGAAATGTCATGAACCTTGGAAAATGACCAGCTTGAACTGAACATCACCGCAGCAAGATAACATTAAGAGAGACACACTTTAAAGCTAATTATTGGCTTTTTACTGCTTGAACTTCCAGCTTCAGGATTGACAGGTGAGGACTGCAACCAGCAAAACTT